CGCCGCATGCGTCGCGGCACTACGCAGAAGAACGAGCTGCTCGTCCGTCGCGCGAGGCTGCCGAACTCCGTTGTTCTGACCACGCTGAAGGTCATGGCGCGCGTCGCTCCCCCAGCGATGGATTGCGTCGGGCGATTATGCGCGCGCAGCGACGACTCGTTCAAGCGGGGGGAGGATATCTTTTACGGCATGAGTGGAGCCGTGTGCATGCGTGAAGGCCAGTGCTGCTGTTGTGGCAAACAGGTGTGCCATTTGCTCGGCGACACGAGCCGGTCGTTCAAGCTAGTGTGTCGAGCGTCGTTTGGTTCAGGGCTGCTTGAAGCCCGCGTTTCATCTGACGGCCTGCAAGTGCGCCGCCTGCCGTTCCACGTGACGGTGCGCGGACCTGCCTCCGCTGACGAGATCCGGAGGCTGAGGGGTGAAAGGGGAGTGGGGTGCCAGCCGAGTTGGTCGTCGATGGCGCGTCCGTCTTCTCGGCCCTGGCCATGGAGCCTTTTCGACCCCCATGAAAGAACGGCATGACCGGACATCTCTGGTGGCTGTTGGATCAGCTCCGCACCAAGCAGATCGATGACATAATGTGATGCGGCACCAGAGGATTGAGTGCCGACCCCATTATGAGCGGCAAGCGCAGCTACGCCCGCAGCGCGATCAGGCTGAACGAAGATAAGCGTAAGTATGCCGTACCTACTGCAGCAGTAGACGTGGCGACAGTTGAGCATGTTGCTGCCGACTCCGGCAACTATGTTGTTGGGGATGGCCGTGCACATTGAGGCGTGTTCCATCGAATCGTCCACAACTGCTATTTTTCATCAGAAGGGTAGTCCGCCGACCCCGTGCGCTGCATGTGTCTATGCTTGCAACTGTTTTGTGTAACCGTTCCGTTCTGCTTCGGGGACGCCACGACGCTTTCGTTTGGATGCCAGATTCGACGGGGATGTTTCCTTGCCCTGCTGGGTGTGTGGGGGTTATCCTTTGTGGCTGTTTGGCTCAAGGGATCCCCACCCTCGCCCGCCTTGCTCGCGCTTTATCCATCACGCCGCTTTGAGCCACGTACCGAAAAGACGATGTCCCATCCGGGTCTTTTACTTTGAATATGCTTCTTCCGCGTTGTTCGTTCTCCCTCCATATCTTCTTCTACTCATTGTTTTGTCCTCTCTCTCTGTCTCCTTCCCTCTCTTCCCACTGGCATGGGGTAAGGACGAGATCGAGCAGATCGTGAAATTCTGGGAGGAAGGCAAAGGCGATGCCAAGAACCGCGTCGTGCTGTACAACTGCACTTCTGGCTACCCCGTGCCGTTCAAGGACGTCTGCTTGCTCGACATCCGCCTGCTGCAGGAGAAGTACCAGCACCGGGTCAAGCACATCGGTTTCTCTGGGCATCACCTGGGCATTGCCATTGACGTTGCCGCATATGCGATGGGTGCGGTCTGGATCGAGCGCCACTTCACCAAGGACCGCACGTGGAAGGGCACCGACCACGCGGCCTCCCTGGAGCCTGCCGGGCTCGCAAAGCTGGTCCGCGACCTGAACGCCTGCTACACCGCCTGCACGTACAAAGAGACGGACATCCTGCCTCTGGAGTCCGAGCAGCGCGCGAAGTTGAAGTGGGGCCTCTACAACAAGGACATCGTGGCTAAGCTGAAGGATCGCCGCCCAGCATGAGGGCGCAGAGAGTCGCGCGGCGGACGCCCCCATCAGGGGCAACGTTAACTGGGGATATGTTCGGGGGGAACGCATCGACCCCCAATCGCGCACTCATTGCCGATAAAGAGGCTCGATAGCTCGCCGTGGTCAGGACCGTGCGGATTTGCCATCGGGGGCCAATCGCCGATGTATCGGCGATGCATCGCCGATTCCAAGCCGATGTTTCCCCTTCCTGAGCCGGTCCCCTCCTCGCGTTGCCCCACGCCCCAGCCCCACCGCGTTTGCCGCGCCACGAATGTCCGAGAGGTGATGGCACGGCGTCGCGGCGCCCGAGGGGCCGCCGGGCGTTCCAGCTGGGGGCAGGCGCGAGGCTGCGATGCCAGGCACGTACCGCCCCCAGTCTCAAGTCCAGGCCTCCCAGATGTGGTCCGAGCAGATCAGGAGGGGAAAAACACAGACACAATTAATCGTCGATTCCCCAGAAAATATGGGAAACTATGGGAAGTGGGGAGGAAGACGAAAACAACCAAAATATGGGAGAATATAGGGAATCTTTTTATTTGTGTGTATTTATTTGTGTGTCCTGGGACCCCTTTAGCAGATGGGGTCGGAGGGTCGCACCTTATCGCCGATGCAACGGCGGTGCGGCTCGATGCGGCGCCCGATTTTCTCCACGTCGACGTCGCCGATGCATCGCCGACGTCAAAGATGCAGCGCGATCCTCCGACCCCATCTTCTCGGACCCAATCTGAGAGGCCTCTGTCAAATCAATGCCTCGGGTGCCTCGCCGCCAGGGCGGTGGCGTTCTAGCTTCAGAATTCGCGGCAGCAGTTTCATCAGCTGTCCGATTTTGAGCGGGCTGTCTACCCATCGGCTGGATTACAGCCTGTGGCTGCAACGAGCACTGCTAGCTTCGCACGCGCACATAGCTTCAAAGCAAGGAGCACACGAAAAGGACATAAGGGGTGCGTGGCACGAGCACGACCAAACAAACGATCACCAGCACAATGGATGAGATGCCAACTTGTCCTGGAAGAGGGAACGAACGGAGGGAGGATAGACGAGGGATGAGAGGGATTCATGATTTTTCAGATATCTTCGTCTGTATCAGCTGTGTGAGCATTGCACCCTCTCAGGCTAGCCCGTGCTTTGTCGACTGCATTCCAGTATGATCGACTCGAGTGAGGCCTCCGCAAGTTTGGAAGCAAGGTGTACACTCCCCAAGGGTCACAGACCAGGGTCTGAGCAAAAAAGGTGTCCTAAGAGTGATGGAGTGGGGTTAGCCCAGCCTTGCGCTACTATTTTGTAACGATCATATCAACAGGCAGGTTGCAGGCACATTGCGTTTGAGAGTGTTGCCTGTCCATTGCGGTGGAACTAAAGGGGGAGGCGACGAGCGGTTTGGAGGACATTGTTTTGAGTAGGACATGGGTAGCACGGGCTCATCACATCATGCTACTATCGTGTGCCTCGTTGCAACTGCTCTCCGCATGCGACAATTTGTAATCGCGCTTGTAACTTGCCAGGCGGAAATCTTACGATGACTAGATGGTCCGCATACAATGGTCGCGCATGCGGAGGTAATGCCATGGACGTGGACTGATGTAAATGGTTGATGCTTCGCGTCTCCCCCACCAGCCTTCGCTGCCTTTTCGGTCGCGCTCGCTCCCTCTTGCTCCTTCCGGGGCTCATGGAATGTGACGTCCTTGCGGTTCGACTACGCTGGCCCTGGAGATGGCCTGATTGATGGTTGTCGGCAAGTGCCCTACGCTAACGCTCCTCGGGTCGCTGGTGGACACTCCGTGGTCTCTCGCCTATCGCGACATTCCATATGAGTGCATCGGTTTGGGCACGTCGTTTTCTATTACATATGGTGGCTGTTCGACAAGGGTCGGTCGTCTACTACTTGGTCTGAGTTTGAGCTGCGGCTTGCTCTGTCTTTCTGTCTTGTCTTCCTTTCCTCGCCCGTGCTCTTTTTCCCTCTGCCTTGTCTCTCCCACGCTTGTCAGCTGTTGCTTCGGTTCTCGCCCTGCATGTAGGTCTGGCTTCATTCGACGGTTGACTCCGCGCAGCTGTCCGCTAGCGGTCGGTAAACAAGTATCCCCACCAGCCCGTCCAGAACCGCTGCCCAGGCGAGTTGTCTTGCAAGCCTCGCAAATGCCTCCTGTAATCATCTTCGGAGGAAGAGGGCGCGGAGGGTGAGGATGGGGGAGGAAGAGAGGCGGACACATACGAAAGAGGAGGAGGAGGAGGAGGAGGAGGAGGAGGAGGAGGAGGACTTGGAGAAGGAAAAGGAGGAAGGGGATGAGGATGAGGATGAGGAGGGGGAGGAGGAGGAGGAGGAGGAGGAGGAGGAGGAGGAGGAGGAGGAGGAGGAGGAGGAGGAGGAGGAGGAGGAGGAGGAGTAGGTTGGGTTGGGTTGGGTTGGGAACGGCCTAGAAGGCAGCGGCGTGTCGCTAGAAACACTGTCGCTCCCAGTCTTCCATATCGTTTTCCGATGAGAAGCCGGAGTCGCTTGCTGCGCGGGCCCTAGCGGTCACCCGCAGGCCGCGCACGCGCACCGCAGGCAGGTCGGATTCAGCTATGCCGAAAGATCGGAGCACGACCTCCCGCTGGGACGCCGCTGGGCGTTCTTCGCCAGCGCGGGTCTTCGCCAGCGCGGAGAGGCGGCAGTCGAAAAGACGGCTTGCAAACGGAGGCGCTCGTCCATAGGCCATCCGGCGGCGCCAGTCTCAGCCCCCGCGCGATCTTGCGATAATGGGGATGGCCACCCGCCGTCAGCTTAGACAACTGCTCGCGCAGCTTCGGGCCGCTCCGCGAGCCCTTGCAATCTGAAAGCATGCATTTGCCTGGGGACCGGTCCCCCAAATAGCCCCCACAACGGTAACAAAATATAAGCCGCATTCCGCTTTTCCCCAGAATGTCGGCACTCAGCAAAGCATGGCCCCAGGCCCGAAACGCGACTGGTTCATAGTCCCGCCGCGCTGGGGCCCACTCAATGTAGAGCTCGAAAGGAGGAGGAGGAGGAGGAGGAGGAGGAGGAGGAGGAGGAGGAGGAGGAGGAGGAGGAGGAGGAGGAGGAGGAGGAGGAGGAGGAGAGGAGGAGGAGGAGGAGGAGGAGGAGGAGGAGGAGGAGGAGGAGGAGGAGGAGGGAGGAGGAGGAGGAGGAGGAGGAGGAGGAGGAGGAGGAGGGGAGGAGGAGGAGGAGGAGGAGGAGGAGGAGGAGGAGGAGGAGGAGGAGCGGGGGAGTGACGGCCCCCACCAAGTCACGCCTCGTCACCTGGCACAGGCGAGGGTTTTGGCGGTTTCTCGCAGGTACGGCCTGCGAGGGTTCCCAGCGCGTGAATCACGTTATGAGCAATGCGGGGCGCACAGTCCTCAAGGGGGCGAAGACCCCCCACTGGGGTTGTGGGCAATGCGGGCGAGCATCCAACTGGGCCTCCAGGATCCAGTGTGCGTGTGGAGCCGCAGCACCGAGAACGATTGTGGACAAAGCGAGGGCTGCAGACAAGGTTGCCGATGGGGGTGCGGGTGGGGGCGGGAAAGGCCAGCCACCACCAGGCCCGTGGGCAGCTAAGTATGAGGCCCAAGCAAAGCAGATTGTAGCACTCACTTCCAAGCTCGACAAGCTGGCCAAGAATGGGCCCTCGCCAGGCGGGGGCTCGCAGGCGGGGCCTAAGGCTGGAGATCCGAAGGAGGTCGAGGCTGAGAAGTGTCGGGAGCGGATCGAGATGCTGCGCCAGACGATTCCGAACCTGGATGCGGAGCGGGATAAGGAGTTCATTGAGGGGCTGCAAACAAAGATCAAGCAGACCCGTGAGCAGCTCCAGCGGCTCAAGCCCCAGATCACCCAGCACACGAACGCGGGCCACCTGCTGGCGGAGCTGGAGCGGAAGAGGGCGGCCGCTCTCCAGAAGAAGAAGGAGCAGGAGGACATCATCGCGGCTGCGCAGTCGGAGATGGGCAAGCAGGACGAAATCGTCACCAAGCTTGAGGTTGAGATCGTGGAGGCCAAGCGGGCGCTGGCGAGCACGATCCCGGACGACGTTTTCTTCGATTGCGACGAGGCGGAGTTTGTGGACGACCAAGAGGTCAAGGACATGTTCGCGTCGGCAGCATGGAAGTGGTACCACGACAAGGTCAAGGAGAAGGGAGGTTTCCGTGCTCGGGCGCCTCCTGCGGCTGCTCATGATGGCGGTGGTGGTGTTCCCGCTGCTGCTGCACGTGAGGCCGCTGACGAGTGTGAAGAACCTGCTGACAAGGACGTGGACACCCTGTGGCAGGCAACCAAGGGCGATAATCGGAACTTGTTGGAGCAGCTGCGCGCCATGGGGTACAAGCGGCCCAAGCGGGGTGACAGCGACATCGGGGACGTGAGGAAGCAGAAGGGGGTGCCTGATTTTCGTTTCTACTTTGCTAACATCACCAGCTATGGCGACAAGGCCAAGGACCAGATCAAGGCCTGGTCACGGGCACATGCGCTCAAGGAGCCGTCTATTTCCTGCAGTACGGGGAAACACCTGAGCGAGCCTGATGGGTTTGAGGAGCGGGCGCCGCACCTCGTCGGTTTCGTGGAACACCACATGATGGGGCCCAAGCTCACAGAGGTGAAGAAGGGGCTCCGCAGACAGGGATGGCGGGGGGATTTCGTGCGAGCCCAGCCTACGATCAACGGTGGCCGTCGGGGGCATGGAGGCGTCGCAGTGTTTAGCCGCACCCACCTGCACACCACTGTGCCCGCGACGGAGGAGAAGCTCATGTTCCCAGAAGTGCTACCGCCGCTACAGAGTCAATGGGCGGTGCAGTGGGTGCGGTTTCAATCTGTCGATATCGCCTTCGCGACGGCCTACTTTGTGGTAGGAGTGGGGTTGGGGGAGACCTTTCCTTGTTGACGGAGATTGGCCAGTACCTTCGGCTCAAGGGGTCGCCTTTCGTAATCATGGCCGATTGGAACATCACGCTGGAGGAGGTGGGGCCTGCAGGTTTCGACACGTACGTCGGAGGTGAGTGGATCACAGCGGGCCCACATCCGAATGGTGAGAGGTTAATTGACTACATGTGTATTTCAGATTCGCTACGCTACGCCGTCGATATCTCGTGGGATAGTTTCCCGCCCTGGGCGGCGCCGCATCATGGGATCCATGGCACCAGCAAGAAGGCTGCTTTCACGATGCAGCAGAGGGTGGCCCTGGCGCCGATCCCCATCACGCCAGGCATGCACGGACCTGACCAACCGTGGGAGTACTTCTGCGAGACGGTAGCGGCGGATGTTGACGAGGGCATGGCGAGGCCTGGGGTGCAGGAGCTCGCGGGGCCTGGGAGGGGGGCCAGCGTGGGCTACCTGACCTTCGCGTTGGCGGCGGAGGCCCTGCTGCTGAACAGGGTGGCGGAGACGGCGGATCGCTTCGCGTCCACCAAGAGAGGCTTCAAGGTTGAGATCAAGGGGGTCCAAGTTTTTCCTCCGAAGCCGAAGGGATGGATGGCCCAAACCTCGGGTGTGGCCAAGTGGGGGGCCCCTGAGGGCCGCCTGCTTGAGTGCGTGGGCATGGCCCAGAAGCGACGGGCCCTCCATCTTAGACGGCAAGGGTGGGGCAGCCTGCAGAGACAAGTGAGTATATGTAAAAGCTTAACTCCTGTTTTACCAGAATAGGCGGAACAAACGCTTCCTGGACAAGCTCGACGGGGCCCTATTTCACCATTGCGAGAGCCCCCGGAGGCTCCAGGTCCTGGCCAAGGAGTGCCGACGTGTGGTTTTGCGTGTTGAGCGTCTCCATGGGCGGGGGGCCTCTACTGGATTTAAGCAGTGGGTAGTGGGGAGTTTAAAGATGGGGGGGGGGGGGGGGGGGCTCTCCACCGTTGGACCAACACGTGGGGGGGGGGGGGGGGGCAACCCCAACCCTCACATAATATGGCCCTGAGGGGGACCGCGTTGTTGACACCTGGGCGGTGGCGGCAAGGCTGCTGCTTGGGAGGCGTTGTGGGCCGAAGGACGGCGTTCCCCCCCCCCCCCCCCCCCTCAGGACCAGGACTGGTGGCCAGAATTTAAAGCCTGTGCCCGCGAAGCGCGCGATGATCTTCCGATGCTCGAAATGGCTGGTTTGGAGGCAGCGCTTTCCAGTTTTCGGTCCGCGGTCGGGATGGGCCTCGATGACCAGAACCCGAAGAATTGGAGCCAGCTGCCGCCAGCTGGTCGCAGGCAATTGCTGGCTTTGTTACACCAGGTAGAGGACGCGATGATCTGGCCGAGCCAGGTTCGTGACAACGTTGTGCAGCTGCTGCACAAATCCCCGACAGCAGATCGCCCCATCACCCTCGCACCAGGCCTTTATATATGCTGGTCGGTGGCGAGGAGGAGGACGGTGGCGGTTTGGGTGGCGGGGGAGAGTGGGGCTCGTTTCCGGGATAAGGCCATCAGAGGGAGCTCAGCTTTAAGGGCAGCGATTTTGCGCCAATTGCAGTTATAAGTTTCGACCATCCAGGGGCTCTCGTGGGCTGAGATCCTGTGGGGCCTGGAAAAGTTTTACGGCCATCTCCAATGTAGCGAGATTTTCAGGCTCGGTCGAGCCACGGGGTACCCGATGTTCCATCTTCATGGCCATGCAAATCCACTTCGCCCCAAGGAGGGTGAGAGCCGAGGATTGTCTCAGCGAAGTAATTCAACCCTGGAGGGGGATCCTTGCGTGCTGCAACCAATCAGTAGATGTGGCCAGGGTAGCTCTGTTTGAAATTTTGCAGGACCTGCACGACTCCTTCAGACCTCTCCAACTTGATTCCTGGGTGGACGACTGTTCCCAGCGGGTGGTTGGGCATGCTAAGGAGGTGGTCTCGAAGAGCGTGCAAGTAGGTAGGAAGTTTGGGGAGCTATGTAAGCAGGGTGGACTGAAGGTCTCAAGTGAGAGCACTCTCGTGAGCTGCCCTGTACACTTGGCCTCGGAAATCAAATCAGCGCTGGCGGTCCATGGCCTACATGTGCAGTCCTCCCAGGTGCCAAGGACCTGGGAGTGGATGCCACGGCTGCCAGGCGCAGTGTTGCCACACAAAAGAAGCGAATTAAAGCCGCTGCGGGTGTTGCCAAGATGATCGCGCAGGTGGTGAAGATAACCCCGAGGGCCCGCGCTCTTGGGAGGTCTGGTTTCATTCCCCAAGCGACGTGGGGGCTGGAAGGTACAGGGCTGGCCCCCACGACGCTGATGCGTCTGCGAGCCCAGATAGCTGCGCTGTCGGGAGCACGCTACGAGGGTGGCTGCGCCACGACGGCGATCAATCTGATGTTAGGGTCTGATCAAGACCCACTGGTGTTTGGCAGGCTGCGTATTTTTCGCATGTGGTACGATCTCCTGCCGACTGTGCAGGGGCAATTCGAGCGCCCTCTGGCCCTTGCGTGGAAAAAGGCTTGGCAGCAGTTGAGACGCGTCAAGCGTCGATGGAGTCATGTCAAAGGCCCTGTCTCTGCCGTCATTCCTTGCCTGCTCGACATCGATTGGACGGCACCCGAGCCGTGGCTGTGGATTTCGCCTGAGCAGCAGGGGTTCGATCTGAGAGACTGTGACCCCGAGAGGCTCATAGACTTCGAGCTTGGAGGGTCGCTTGATGCCCAGATCTGGGGGAAGGCCTCTCAGCGCCACCTTGGGAAGGGTCTGGAATTTAGTTCCGATTTTACAGTTCCTCACCGCCGCATGAAGCGGTTGGAGGGACGGAACCAATGGGACAGAGCCGCAGTCCTGCGCATGGTCCTCACAGGTAGTCTCTGGCCAGCAGCGCGCAGATTCGGAGAGGGGGCCCTCCGACCCCGTCCCCCTGATGAGTTCCCCGCTGCCGATGCTGCTGATGCGCCCTCTTCGTTTCCCTCCGACCTGCCGGCGCCCGACCCTGCCGCAGGGGGCGCGAGCGCCGCAGGAATCTTCCAGGAAGAGATGGACATAGAGGAGCTTTTCGACCTCGAGGCCAGGCAGGAATTGCCGCCCGCCGCCGAGGAGGAGGAGGCGGAGGAAGCCAGGCCTTGGGCCACCCCTGCCTGCCCCCGCTGTGGTGCCCCACCGGAAACCACGTTTCACCAACTTTGGGCGTGCCCGTGTAATGTCGGGATAGAGGGCTCCCACCCCGAACTGCTTCAGCAAGCGGAAGAGGGGCGGGGTGAGTTTCCATGTTTTTGGTTGAGGGGGCTACCACCGCTGAGGTGGACCAGCGGCCCCGCGCTGGTCGATGTCCCAAGCGACCCCGTCATTTCCCCGAGCCTCGAGCCTGGGCCGACTGATTTGGAGGAGGGGGACGTCGTTGTCGGGTCGGACGGGTCGGGGGGGGCGTACTCGTCGGAGCCCAGGCTGAGGCGATGCGGTTGGGGGTTCTCCATCATTAGGGGCAACGGTCTTTTGGGGTGGGGCCATGGGCCGCTCCCAGGATATAAGCAGACCGTACCGCTCGCTGAGTTGGAAGGAGTCATCCAAGCTTTGCGACACACCAGGGGTGCGGTCACTTTTGCGGTGGATTCCTCCATCACCATTCGTACTTGTTTGAGGGGCAGGAACTATGTACCACCTGTAAATGTTGCATCGTGGCGTAGGTTTTGGGCCGAGGCGGGTGACAGGCAGATCAGTATGGTCAAAGTCAAGAGCCACACCCGTCCAGCTCCTGAGAGGGAGGATGGCCCACCAGTTTTGTTCTGGCTTGCCAATGGAGCTGCGGATGCAGCTGCGGAGGAAGGAGCTAGGAGGGCCCAACTCCCTGGGCACATCATCGCCGAAGTGTGCAGGATAGATGAGCTAACCCACAAGGTGCAGGAGCACCTGGTTGCGGTGGCTCTTCACATAGCGTCGAGAGCGCCAGAGCTGTACGGCCCCAGCTCCAAGGCCGCGAGGGCGTCTGAGGCTAAGGCCAGGGGTCGCGAGCGGGCGCTCGAGGTTGAGCGGGCCGCGGCGGTGTCGACTCATCGGGTCGTCACCGACGCGAAAGGTGTCAGATGTGCGCTGTGCAACGCTCGCCCGACGGCTGAACGGAGAAAGCTGGAGTGGCTTGCAACCCCATGTGCCAGAGTTCCGCATGGTATCGACCCCTCGCATAAGTTGAGCTTTTGCCAGGTGGTCTTCTGGTGCCAGTCTTGCGGGGCAACTGAAACGCGTGGGAAATTCATCAAGCTGGGAGGAGAGTGCAGACCCGATCGCGTGGGCGAATGGGGTAAGCGCATGTTGAAGTACCTGAAAGAAGGGAAATTCCCCCCAGGGCTCAAGGCATGGCCTGAGCCAGATCCTTAAGTTTTGGTTTCGGCGTGCCCGCTCATGGGATTCTCGCTGCAGCGCTGTATTGGTATTAGAGGAGGAGGAGGAGGAGGAGGAGGAGGAGGAGGAGGAGGAGGAGGAGGAGGAGGAGGAGGAGGAGGAGGAGGAGTAGGAGGAGAGGAGGAGGAGGGAGGAGGGAGGAGGGAGGAGGAGGAGGAGGAGGCGGAGGAGGAGGAGGAGGAGGAGGAGGAGGAGGAGGAGGAGGAGGAGGAGGAGGAGGAGGACGAGGATGGGAGCGGTGAGGCCGCGCCTCTGCGGCATCACTGTCTGAAAGGCTCACGCCAGCATCCCCTGTTCCCCCAGCATTCGCATCCGCGCATCCCTCCTCGGCATGCTTGCCCAAGACGTCCTCCCGGTCTGGCGGTCCCTGGTCGGCGACATGGCTGTGCAGTTGACCCACCCAACGGCCCACCTCGACCGCGACGTCCGCCAGGCCGGCCCAGAGGTGAGCAGCAGCAGCCGTAACGCCATGCAATGCTGCCCCCGCTTTGGCGAGCTCGTCGGCCTTACCGTTCGCTCGTTTCTCCATGGGGGTAGTGCGGCCTCCGTCCACGTCGGCCTGCGTCGCATGAGCCAAGGTCTTTCTGA